CAATTGTATATTTTCTTTCTTTTAATTAAGGATTTGAGATTTTAGACTTTTCAATTGTACTCTCAATTGAGTTTTATTTGGTTTTCAAATTTTCTATTTCTTTTATTAGACCTTCCAAATCACTTTTCAAATAATTCTCCTTTTCTTTTCTTTTCTTTTCATTTTTTTTTTTTACTCACAAATTTAAATAAATTAATTGGGATAAAAATTAGATAATGACAAGAACGAACATGTAACATGACTGACGGCTACAAGTCTTGCCTTCCAACAAAAGCTCCTCTAAAACCCATCCAATCAACCGTTACTTTTATTCTCCCATCCCATGCTATTGAAACTTAATATGTGTAATTGCTATGAAATCGGAAAAGACTAAAGTATCTTTTTCTTTGTCGAGATAATGTATGTCATGTTGACTCTTAAACCAATCTTTTCTTCAGGAAAAAGAAAAAGAAAATAGAAATGATTGCAAAAGTTCTACTATATATCATTTTCTTCTACTCTATCTTTGGATGTATGAACCAATCTGTAAAGATCGATCAAGATGAAGGATGTCCAAAAGGGTCAATTGGAAATTTTTTGAACGAAAAGATCTAATTAATGATATTTTTTCTTTTCAATATTTTAGCAAATTCTAAGTACTGTTCTTGTCTGGTTTAGTTTCGTATGTTGAATCTCTACCCATCTCTCCTCAGTTATTTGCAAGATAAATACTTAATGGGAGGTTTAATTACTACAATTCTGCATATAATGCACGAACGTACGTACGATGGGATGATACTTGATACAAGTTAGGAGTTAGGACCACAAACCTCAAGGGAGTTGCACAACGATAAATAAAGACATAATGATATAAACACACCAGCCAAATTAGGGTTTGGTGAAAAAACCATAAAGAGAGAACGCTTTTTGGCAGCATTTGTAAGATAAACTTGTAAATTATTCAGGACAAAAATAGTATACCATGTGAAAGAACAGTGAAATTAAAGTAGAATCGTATCTTTCTTTCCAAAAGGAAGGTATTTTCTATGCTAACTTTGTAGTTAAAAACCCAAGAAGCTGACCTCTCTTTGTCCCCTAAAAAAAGAAAAAAAAATGGTCCACGAATCGCATCATGATGATAGTAAAATAAAGTTTAAGTTAGAACCTACATTTCAGGTTAATTCGTCATTAATTTATGAAACATTATTTTGATAAAAAAGAAAAGAATATCCTTCTTAACAACCAAATGATATATCTATGCGAAACAAATTCGAGATAAAAAGGCTTTGAAATTATTGTACACTACTTCGAAGCCTAATCCTACTTCCACCACTATATACGGAGCGTGCATGAGTCGTTTTTATTATTAAGGTTTAGGGTTTAGAGTACTTTAGGATTATTGTGCACATATATTGAGGTTTGTTTTCTATTTTTTTCTTTTTTTAATATTATTTCAAGTCTATTTAAAAGAGGGTACGTATTGTGCACATATCTAAAATATGAGCCAAATGACCACATAAAGTCATATAGAAAACAACGAAAATCTCTCTTCGTGCAAGGGGGAGGCGAGAGAAAAAATTGAAGAAAATAAGCCCTAATGTAGAAACAAGAATAAGGGTAAAAGGAAAAGGAGGGAAAAAAAAAAAAAAAAAAAGGTTCGTATAATGAGTAGCATTGGAAGAGGGGAAGATTCTTGTATAAAGAGAGGGTGTCGTCCTATACTAATCATTATATTTCTTTTTCCCTTTAACTGAAAAAATGAGTGGAGGCATACCATACTAACGAAAAAAGTTCAAGAGGAGGGCTTAGTTGGTGAGCAGTCAGCATAGGTATGACTTGCCGACAAGAATTTCTGTCTCTCCACTTAATGAGTAATTAGAAGACCCCAAACTGGTAAAATAATACCATTCTCAATCCACTCTACTTTTATATTCTCTTCATTCATTCACGAAAAAGTGAAAATCTCACTTGATTTTTCACCTTTATACTGTTTGTTTGCTGGGGTGGTTGGGTGAATCTGATATTCATCAAGTGAGAGAGAGAGAGAGACAGAGAGTTTGAAGTACAGGATGCTTTGAAGGGTTTGCATGACGAGAGAATGTGTTGACATAAGTGGATGGTTTCCTTGAAAAATAAATACATTGGTTACCATGAAAAGTTGCAAGGTGGTAAAAATTATAGCATTCCATAATTGGAAGACTGCTTTACTTGTAGTAAAAATGGTTGAAGCAGCACTCTTGTTAAATTCAATTTCTTTATTTCATTTCTCTTCTTGGCTCAAACTTCCAAATTCTCCCCCAGTTTATCCCGATGAGCAAATTTATGAAATCATGCCTTTGAATGGACATTCAAGGTGAGCAATTTTCACGGAAAGTTTAACGTCCCTGTGCCCATGCCATTGTTAAAAGTTCACATTTTATCTTACTATGAAACTTGAAACCAGGCCTTAGAGAAAAGGACTGCGACATGAATCCGAGAACAAGTGGAGAAATTTAACAAGCAAGTATTAAGGAATTTTTGAGGGCTCACTACAGGATTCATGTTTTCTCACTTCTAAAACTATAGATAAGACTCTTAACTTCCATCCCAAGCCAACACAAACACAGACACAAAATGCGGAGTCTTTTGACAGAAAACCAAGGTTCAAATCATTCCTCTGATATCAAGCACTGAGTTTTCAATACCTTTCGTATGGATAATTATGATTGGTAAATGATCTCTTTTCTACAAGCAGCCATACAAACAACAAATGTACATAGTATCTGTAATCTTTTTATATTCAGGAACATACACATGAAGGGGAAAAAAATAGAAGAAACAACAATTCAAAACCAATCAGCGTGTAATTCTCAACATATCATTGGTGAATTGCATAATGAAACTAAGGATGATTGAATCTACTGCTTCCTGTTAAATTATATCTTTCCAACTTGATCTGCTATAGATAAGGAACCAATAAAATTGGTTTGAATTTGTTGCAGAAGCATCTTTTGCAGTGCTTCATGCCGACAGCCTTCCTTTGTTTTGGGTCCTCTAAGCCCCCTTTCTCGCAATTATGGGGAGCATTGCCCAATTACCCTGCATGAACGTCACAAGCTTTGGAATGTTTAAAAGAGAAGTTACCCGAAAGATGATTTGATGGGAAAAGCGCTGATGTCTCTCTCTCTCTCTCTCTCTCCCCCTCCATGACAACCAAAGTTTGGAAAAAGACTTCCACTTCTTTCATGGTGGGGCTACACCTTCCCAAAGACAGAAAAACTAGGAGATATAGATTGAGATAAAAACAGTTAGAAGTGCTCCTCCAGCTAGAAAGGTGTTCTTTCAGGTCCTTCCGAGGTTGTTGACCCACGTAGAGGTACTTGGCTTGCCATTCACCGAACCAGCTTGTTTAAGCAACCTCTGGTTTACAAAATAGACATTTCACTTCCAAAAATTTCAAGTCAAGTCCTTGGATCCTTCCGGCGGAATTCCACCTTTAATCATTGTCCATGGCATTGTACTAACCTCCAACAATCTTACGGTGGTCTCTCCAGTCCAACAATATCTTTGTCGAACGCTTCTGCCACCACAAAGATTAATTTAGCATAATATCTTCAGTTTTCTTCAGTTCAATTAAAAATTATTATCACTCAGGTCAAAGTTCCTGACAAGTGGAAAATCATTATGTTCCTAGATTAGATAGTTCCAACCACAAAACCCAAGCAATAGACTTGCATAGTGATTAAAGTTGCATCATTAAAAAGACTAGTTATTGTAAAATATATATATATATATTAAACGAGGAAAGGAGCATATATAGCCTAAGAATCCCCAGGTTATGAACTTAGTTCAGACAAATGATATTGCAATTTGTGTGATTCAGCATTTAACTAGGCAACCAGCTCAAGTAGATGTGATAAAGATACCTCTAACCATGGCATGTGAAGGTGCTCATATCGGCAGGAACTTTACCTAATTTTGGAAAATAACAAGGAAATTATGTGGCAGGGTTCAACTGAAGATTCTGTTCTCATTGTAGGAAGTAAAACTAGAATCCCATCCCAAGAAACCTATTTGGGCACATAACGGACCACAAAAAACATGGAAAGTTTTCAAGCAGACCCCTTGTAATCATCATACCATACATGCAAAAAACATGAAATTCAAATTGGAAAAATATGATTACATAAGGCAGTCGATCATGCTTGTTACTCAAGGAATTATAAGATCATCAAGCAAGAAATGAGGGATCCATATTGAAATGAATAGGAGAACAGGAGCTAAACTCCGCGGTCGCATCAACTGCAAAAGTTCTGGACTTTTGGGTGAATTTAAAAAGAAGAGTTGCAAAATTTTATGAGTGAAAGCAAGTCATCTTTGGAAATGGAGAACCTCAACAATCATGACATAATGGCAAATAATATAACCATAGAGGTTTTAATCACAGAACAAAGCAGCATGCTAGATTTATAGAATGGCTCCTATAGTTTCGTAACAAGGTTCTAAATAAAGCCATGAACATCATGCTCAGAAAATCAGCTGCTACACAACAGATATGCTTTACCGATGCTTAAATGAGAGAGTATCAAACACGTAATGTTCAGAAGATTGGTATTAATTGCTCTTGTTTAACCTCAATCTTAGAAAGTAAGGAGAATACTTGAAGAACAAAATTTTACAACATTGTTCCCGTTCTGAAAAATCTGTTGATAAGAAATTCCTATCTTTACAAACAAGAAGATTTTGTTTTTTTTTATTTTTTTATTATTATTATTATTTTTTTATTTATTTTTTTTTTTGCAAACTCAAAACCTCCAAAACTCATTCTATAATGAAAGATGGAAACTTGCTCGAATCATGTGGCTATGCATTACTAGGCATACAGAAACAGAATCCCTATTGATTCCTCTCTTCCTCCAATCTGACTGCCCCAAAATCTTCTAAAGAGTAAGTAAAGAAATACAAAAGGAAATAAAAAGTGGGAAGAATTCAAAATAAATCCAACAAATTTAGAATTCAAAAGTAGTGGAAAAAAATGTTACACTGAGGATGCATCAACAAGAACCTCGTTTAGCACATCATCCTCACCGTTTTCCAATGAAAAGAGATCTGCATCCTTATCTTCGTCGCTCAAAAACTCCCGCCTATCAAGCTTTGAGTGAGCTGCAATAAATATCAACTTTTGCACCTTGTCCATGCCCGCCCTTGAGTGCCCATGGGCACAAACCCATCTCAGCAAAGACCAATTGCATTTGAACCCGCAGGAAGTGGCATGAAGAAAAATAAGCCTAACTGCAACTTTCCCTAGTGACTTGAACTCAGTAAGATAAGTCTCCCAGACAAGCCTACTACTCTGAGGATTGACCATTCTCATCTTTCCTGTAATGGGATCCCTCTCCTTCATCTGGACAGCCCTTGCATACACAGGATCAAGTCCTTCTGTTCTCCATTTCATGAGTTCCATCAGTACAATATGAGCTTCCTCCCTTGAAACAAGCCTGGTTATAAGCTTGTCTACATCCTTTTCCTGCTCCGGAGTCAAGCATTTGAAAGGAGGAAGGTATTTGCCACTGTTGTCCCTCAGTAAATAAAGTGGATCAAGTATGTACGCAGCAGCCCAAGCAGGATGATAATTCTTCTTGAACCGTCTTTCGATCACTTTCTCCACTACTCCTTCAGCAATGTGGAACTTCGAACACCAATCCTTCACTTTTGCTCTAAGTTCATCCCACAGCGGCAGACATTGCCCCACTAATGGCCTCTCTGTCTCAATCTCTTGAGCCATTTCCTTGATCAACTTAACTAACGAATGCACCGCATCCAAATCATTCCAAAACCCCACATCTCCAATCATCTCGGCAACTTCTCTTGCAGTAGGATCCTCCATGGAAACTATCTTATATGATTCATCGAGCAAAACCAACTGCAATGCTCGAGCTGAGCTCATTATATCCTCTAGCATTGTATAAACAGGTCCAAAATCCATCTTCTCATACTCCCGCAAGGGCACTCTCAATAATCTTGCATTCCCGTACTCTTGCAATTGATATTTATGGAAACTATTTCGAATTAGGGTCTTATTATTGACAAAACTTGCGAGCTTGAAGCAATTCTCACTCACAGTCCTGAACAGTGGAAGCTCCTTACTAAAATCCTTAATCAAACTAGTGAACCCTTGTAATTGACAAGGAAGATTGACCATCCAATGATTCTGGTTCTCTAAATTCCTCAATGCCTTAGCCTTAAACCTGTCTGCAACTATCCCTACACACTGTTGCACAAGACTCCCACAAATGCCTGTTATAGTCTCCCAAAAAACCTCCTCTGCATACTTGGAAGGCACTGAACCACTAACAAACACGGCTCTCCGGTACAAACTAGTTCCATTAGGCAAATTCACTGTCAAATTCACCAAATTTATATCACCAAGACCCCCATTACTCTTCACCTTCCACCCGTCCGACGCAATCTGAAAAAACATAGCATCTCGAATCCTTGCCTCAGATTCAGCCCTAGCTTCCTCGTACTTAACATCCAATCTCCCACCTACAAAATCCCTTCTTGAAACCACAGGCAACCCAACTTGATTCAGAAAAGCTCTGAACTTTGGATGCTCTAAACTCGAAAAGGACACAGACCCACAAGACTCATAAACCCAATCAGCTAAATGATCAAGCGCACAGTCAACCTGGGTCTTACTCAGAGCTTGCCCTGGCGAAGTTTTAGGACTCTTTAACTTTTTTACACTGTCTTCCAACATAGCTAAAGCACCCAAATCCTCTTTCCCACCAGACAACATCAAATGTGGCTGTTGTGGCAACATAGCTATCTCACCTGAGAATCTTGATGGATCCACAATAGCAAGAGGACTCACTTGGTACGTACTACCAACAGGTGTCACTGGATACGTTGATGATGCAACGCCACCAGAACCAGAAAGCCCTGAACTTGAAACGACAGGTCGTTTCCTATTGCTACTAGGATGAGCTACTGTAGTAACACCGCCACTTGAAGACGGTGAAGGCAATAAGGCAGTATTTGGAGAGATTGAAGAAATGGGTTTCGGTAGAGAGTTAAAATTAGGACAAGTACCACGTTTCAGATGCTCAGAGGCAGTTCTTGAAGGGTTGGAAGCGGAGAAAACGGCGTCGCATAATGAACACCGTAGCTTCACAGCTTTAGGAAGGCCAGTGTCGGTGTTGTGGACCAACATAGGCTCTAAATGAGCCCAATACCACGCGCCTTTACCTTTTATTGCTTTGGTCCTTACCATCACTAAACCTTCATATCTCTTTTGTACTGCCTTTGCTGTTAGCTCTTCTGCCGTCGCTGTATCTACTTGTTGTTGTGGTGGTGGTGGTGGTGTAGTTGTTGTGTTAGTTGTTGTCGCCATTATATATGTGATATTGTATGTATAGTGGTGCAACAAAAAATGGTCAGAGTAGGAGACTTTTGTGGGGATTCAGGACTGCATTCAGCTAGGGAAGGCTGCCGGCGGTGGTTGTTGCCGGATTTTCGTTTTCCGGCGAGTGTCCATGTCAAAGTATCGGTCTTTTTTCCTTGTTGTTTCAATATGGGGTGTGGCTTAGTTAAGTCTTTCTCTAAAGGGTCCGTTTCTTAGTGGGAGGGAGGGAGGGAGGGAGAGAGAGAGGTGATGGGGTAAGGGAGAAATAAGTGAGGCATGAGAGACTGAAAGAGGAGTTTCAATGGTGGCATATGGAGCGTGAAATACCGTGCGTGTTTATTTGCGAGTGGCGGAACAGGAGAGAGCCATGTTGATGGGAACTAGCTATTGCAATTGAAGAAACACACTAACGCCACGGTCCGACGTACGAAAACACTACTGACAATGGCTGTCACTTCCCGTTGATTGGAGAGTGAATTGCACGCACATTGAAAACAAAGGTTCTAGTTTTGGCATCCTTTTCATGTTTCCTGCTTTATATATATATATATATATATATATATATATATTTTTTTTTTTTTTTTTTTTTTTTTTTTTTTTGGGTCTAGTAGGGGAGGGAGTCTTCTTGTCTGTTTCTTCCCCTTTCTTCGCTTTACAACTAGATTTTAAGGTTTTTTTTTTAAAAAAAAAATTATTTTGTTTACGGAGAGTATTATATAATTTGGCTATTTCCTTTTGTGGCTTGTTGTTCATGTGGTTTTTATTCAGAAAGTGGACATAAAAGGGCAACTTAGGAATTTAATGAATTCCACCAGTTTCTTATACGGGGCAGTGTTGACCAAGACAAACTTATGGAGAATTGTCTTGAAAAAGTTCACCAAATGCCATATGCAATCCGGGGTTGGAACTTTCTCTCTTTCTTTATTCATTTCCTTGTTGTTTATTACTACTATGAGTTTTATAATATATATTAAAAAAGAGGATTTTTTTTTTTTTTTTTAAAGAGCCTCAGGAGTAGGTGGCATGCACGGTAAAATAGAGGTGGCTAATTTACAAGTCATGTAGCTATAATGTGTCCCATTTTCCACTCCATTGGCACACTAGTCTTTGTTGATCAGTTTATTTTGTTGACCCAGCTTATGCACAAGAAGCTTTCACTACGGTTCAAAAGAATAACAAATAATCAAAAGAAGGACTCAAGTAAAATAGGCTCTATTCGTTTGAAAAAGTAATGTTGATTTTAAATTTTCATATATTTAAAAAAAATTAAATAATTATATTTGTTTTATGTATATGATCGAATGATAAATAATAATCTCAATTTTTGAATCTAAAATACCTTGAAAATTCAAAAAAAAAAATACTTTATTTTTTAGTGGAGTTCGAAAATGTACATCTGAATTTTCTTCCATCTTGAGTTACTCCTAACTTATAACTTAATCATTGAGTTCATATATATATATATGATGACCACTTTTAATTTAGTAGGCTTTTGTTTCAAAAATACTTTATTTTGCGGTCAAATTTTCTCATTTATCTGATTTTATTTTCTATGAAAGAAAAAAAAATCATTTGAAAAAAAAACATAAAATTGATAAATAAATAAAAAATACATTATAAATAAATTTAAAAATTAAATATATACTTTCTAAAAACACGGGGATCAATTGATTAGTTTTGTTAAACTACAAGAAATAAGAAATAATTTAGTCCTCAAATTTTAGATAGATGCAAGTTAAATTTAAGAGTTTACACTATACTAAATAGGTGCCTTATATTTTTTTTGCTATTTTCAAAACAATAAAAAGCAAAAATTAATTATTAAAGAAATTTATTTAACATTCTAAATGAGTTTTATGCTATATTCCCGAAAAAGTAATTAATCAAGACTCTGGTTTGTAGAGAATACCAAATTAAAGGAGTTTAGCACAATTTTGGAAACCCATAGGAGTTTTATATATGCTATATTCCCGAAAAAGTAATTCGATTGTGCATATCCATCCTCCCACAAGCACTGTCCCGATTATATAAGCTTTCATTGTAAAGAGCCTAAAATCACGATACTATTTATTGTGGCTGTTATGGTCAAATGATATATTACTAGCAAGCTGAAGCTGTCTTCCGAAGACTGTCAAGGATACGCTATTTTGCTTTCAAGGAGAAGAATGTTCAAGGGATAATATATATATATATATATATATATATATATTTCATGCATGGAATTTTCACCTTGACTCTCTGAGGTCTTTTCGATCTCTAAAATGTTCAGGAGTGCAAAAAAGACTTCTGAAGCTTCATCAAATCTGATGGGTCAGAAATGCAGTCTCTCTCGTCACTGCTTCCTCCCTCTTAGTAAATGGATGGAGCAATAAGACCCAGTGAAAATCCAAACGAGAGAGATATTATTTACTGTCTAAGTTTGTGCAAAACCTTGTTGTGAAAAAAAAAAAAATTCACTGAACTGCGCTTTTTATCAACCAAATGGAGGTAGCAATTGAAGTACACTATTAAATGAGGTTAGTGCTCAGTATTAATGTGTCTTGTTTGTTAATATCCGATTGGTCCATAATCATATATCACAACTGTCACCCACCTCCAATCTTTGCATGTACTTTTGAAACCCCAAAAAACAAAAAAAACTACAGGAGAGAAATCAAGAGCGTTTGGCCCCTGATTGGTTATTGACGTGAAAATTTGTTGGAGTAGCACAACACATCGGAGAGCTTGGATGAAATTTCAAATATGGGTCACAGTGTAGCGACTTACTACCTAAAAGTTCTTTATGCATGCTCATTAAGAGGAAAAAATTGAATATTCGGCCATATGGGTTGGTCTTTACCTTCCTGTTTACCCATTTTAGATCATCATATAACTTCTAAATATTTAGGGTTGAGTATTGAATTTCAAGATTGGAAATTACTTCTGGCTTGCCATTTTCAAAACTTTAATGCTTACGGGATTTTAGCTTTCCTTTTCTCTAAGCATTTCCAACGAGGTGTTCGTCCCTTATTGCTCCTTGTTTTCCTACTTAAGTAACATCTCTAAACCTTTTTTCACTCTCCAACATACATAATTTTGATGTGTTTGATATCTGATCTCACTTCCAAGGGTCGGCATTTTGATCTAGGAGCGAATTTCCGTACATAATTGATCGTGCATTTCAGTTAATCTCTCGTTTGATTGTTTTGAAAATTTTAATTTGTTTTTGGTTTAAAATTCACAAGAAAAAGAAAAAAAAAACAGAGAAGATACTGTATCTTATTCGAGACTACAATAATAGTTTAATACAAGGTGTTGGGTTATATTTAATAAAATAATTTTTAATAAAATATTCATAAAAAAAAAAAGAAAGTATAAGCTATTGTCTTGAAACAGTAACGTGTACTGTTTCAACAGTAACTTATACCATTGAATGATACTTTAAAATGAAAAGCTGCAATAGTTTTTTTTATTAAATGAATAAACGGCTTTTTGCATTCTCAACGTTTTTTTCCTTTTTACCATTTAAATCATTTGATTGTTTTATTAATTCAATTGTCCAACTGACGTTTTTTTTAATATATAAATTGCTCTTGCTATTTGATGAAACACAACTACAACAAACAATTTCTTAGCTTGTGAATAGTGAAAAAATAGCAAGTGTTTTTTTCTTTATTTTGCTTAGAGAGAGAGAAAAAAAAGGTTTTTTTCGATTTTATTGCTTTTGTTTCTCACTAAAAGGCCTTTTTTTTTTTTAATTTTCTTTGGATAAGAATAATTCTAGTTTATATTTGAGTTTCAAGTCTTACAAATAGTGTAAACTTATTAAAACACGACAAGGTGACTCGAGTTTATTGTATTCTTAGGACGGTGTGCATTATATACTTGATCCGTTACATCGGTAAAATTCTACAAACGATGCGTATCATCTTAAAAAACAACCTAGTTATGCTTCGAGACAATCACTTATAAAATTTTGATAAAGTCGCTTTGGTATTTTTCCACTCAAAATTTTCGAGTAATATTTTTCTATTTTTTTCCATCAATGTGAGATGATATTTGCTAAAGGAAAACACTAATATGCATGGGCAAAGGTCTACTCGGAGTGGGTGATCTTAATAAATCCTTCCACTTTCGTGGTGCAAATTTTAAAAGATTGAGGCAAAAGACTTTTATTTTATCTTACTCTATTAAATCCGAGCTATGTCTTAACCGAAAAAAGTCCTAAGAAAAAGAAAACTCGAAAATATGAGTGATAAAGAGATAGTTCAACCGAAGTAGAAGTTAAGAAATGGAAAAATGATAGTGATCATTGTAGAAATTATTTACTAAATTATCTTTCCGATTAGCTTTATGACTATTATAACCAAGGATATTCTTTTATTAAAAAGATTTGACGGACTCTAGATCAAAAATATAACATAATCCAAAAATTATGCTTGTAGTTATTTTTTCAAGTTTTAAATAAATGAAGAAAAACTCGTGATGGATGAAGTCTATAAACTTCAAATGATTGCACATGACATCCACTCGAAGGCATATATGTAGATGAGTAAATGCTAGTTTCGGGCATCATTGATAAGTTATTAGAATTCTAAAAAGATTTTGCTAAAGGCTTGAGGCATAAACAAAAGGAGCTCTCCATCGAAGCTCTTATTACTCGTCCGAGGGTTGAAAATGAAGCACGAAATCAAGACAAAACTATTGAACTCAACAGTTCAAATGGTACTAAGGTAAACTTCATTACCTTTAATGAAAACTCTTATCAAATGCCAAAAGCCAATAGAAAGTTTAATGGTTAATATAAGCCAAAGAAAAAAAAATTCAAGAAAAAGCCTTAGGGAAACTAGTATCACTCTAACCAACCAAGAAATTATGGATCACGTCCTAAACCACCATCAAATAATGGCAACCACAATAATGCTTATGTTTGTTTTGTTTGTAGTAAACCCGGGCATGTTGCTGAAATTTGCCACCTTAAAAAACATGGGCCTATTACTCAAGCTAACTTTATCCAAGAGTCACTTGTGGCTATGATTTTCGAGATTAATATTCTCAAAGGCTTAGATGGATGGTGGGTTGATTTAGGAGCTACTCGACATGTTTCTTAAGATAAAAACTTGTTCAAGATTTATACAATCTTGGATGAGAAAAAAAAATCATGCTTGGTGATTCTCACACTACCGATGTGATGAGGGTTGGAGATATACTCATTAATTTTGGTGATAGTTGGAGATATACTCATTAAATTTATATTTGGAAGAGAGGTTACTCTCAAAGATATGTCGTATGCACCCAAAATTCGTAAGAATTTGCTTTCTAGTTTTCTCTTGAATAAGACTCGACTTTAAACAAGTTATTAAGGTCGACCAAGTATATATTTTCCAAAAAGGGCCTATTTATTGGAGAAGGATATGCTTGTGACGGGATGTTTAAATTTAACATTGAAATGAATAATGAAAGGTTCACTTTTATTTACATTGTTTCTTGTGTGAATGTTTGACATGATAGATTATGTCACATAAATTATAAATATGTGAAAAACTTAAGTAATCTTGGTTTAATCCCCGAACTTGAAAATGAGTTTGAAAAAGGTGAATCTTGTAGCATGGCTAAAATTTCAAGAAAACCTTTTAAAAGTGTTGATCATAATTTTGAATTATTAGAACTAGTATATACTCGATATATGTAAGTTTAGTGATATTCTAACTCATGGTGGTAATCGTTATTTTATAAATTTTATTGATAATTTCTCAAAATATTCATATGTTTTTTCTTATGAAGCATAAAAATAAAGCTTTTAAAAAATTTATTAATCTTTTAAAATAAGTTGAAAACAGATTTGGTAAAAAGATCAAAAGGCTTCGAAGTGATAGAGGTATGGAATATGACTCTATTAGTTTCAATAATTTTATGCAAACTAATGGTATTATGCATGAAGTTACAGACT